GGCAGCTTCGTTGGGCGGAGCACCCCCACACTCCCTCCGCCCCCCTGCAACCCCATGAAACTGTGTAGGAGTGACCCTCTGGCCCCATGTGCTAGGGAGGTTCACACACACACATACACACACACACACAGTCTCCTGAACCGCAACAGTTCAGGGGACCTTAGGACGACAGCATGCGGATTGTCTGTAGGTTTCAGCTGTTCGTGGTATTGCACCCGACGACAATGGATCGGATTTTCCGTCATTCTGATGCTTCGTCGCTAAGATACCCCAAGAGTCCCTAGGCCCCAGGTCTAAAGCAGCTTCCCGAAGCTTTAACCCGACCATCCTACCTTCGCAGGCGGCGGGGTGGGAAGGCTGCCAGACTCAGAAACAACGAATCTTCTGAGGGCCTTGTTCATTAGAAAGTGCAGGTTCAGACTCGGCACATGTGTTGTTTCTATCGTGCGGTGCGCACCCAATCCTGGCTGCGCTGTGATGCAAAGACCGAGCCGGAAACCCAGACACCAGCGACATGGCAGCCGCGGACTTCAGAGCTCAAATGCTTCGGGCTTGCGGATCACTGGCGTCGAGGGGATTGGCACATGAAGGCGCTTGGTCCAAAACATCCGGGACATGAAAAGTCCAACAGTACACGGAGCCTCCAGAACGAAACCAATTTAGAACAGTCCCGCGTCACAGGCTGAAACTTGGACCAGTCCTAAAGCTAAGTCCCGGCTTTTGCTGTAGAGCCAAGCAGCTGACAGTTCGAGTGCTGCCATGTTGCATTCGTGCCGAGAACCCAAGCTGCGACACTCCGGCAGTATTGAACCAAACAAGACATAATCACCAAACAAACGGAAAGCACCGGCGAGAAGGTGCCACTTCTTTGTTAGGTTATTGTCATTGCCATTGTGCTTGAGAGCATCACGGCAATGTGCTCAGCAGCCAGGGCACATGATTGATCTAATCGTTACAATCATCCTATATACCAGATCAGGTACGACCTGAAAACAACCAGAAACCATGTCCCTCGAAAGTCCCATTTTTCCTTCCCAGGTCCCAGGTCAGTCTCGCGAAGGTAGCCAAGCACTTGGCTAAACTGTGCTACCAGAACCACATCCTGTCCTAGCCAGTCAAGCTTTGGCAGTTTCGGTCTCAGGGCATCAGCTCAAGGATCCAAGTTTGCTTGGGTTTGTCCAAAGCGTCTCAGAGGTGGCATGGATCCTGTGCGAGGCAATTGATGAGCCCGTTCACCTGTCAGGAATCGAACGCTTGATGAAGTGCAGTGCTGGAGCTGTCCCTGACCCAAACAGCTGTGAGGTTTACCACAGAAGTCAGGAGAGGCTATTTGTGACTCTAAGAGGGCATCGCACCTTGAGCTTCTAGCTCGCAAGCCGACATGCCTTTAGCACCGCCACAGCACGCAGCGGATAAAAAATCGGAAAAACACTCCAATCCAGAAAAGCCTAAAGCCCAAAATGCCGCTCCAAGTGGTTGAGCACGCTGACAGATTCTTCAGAATCTCGAGTGGGAAGCCAACCTGAGCCCACAGCCCAAAAACCTCAAAGCAAATCGGACAAGGTGGGATTGTTTCGACACGCCAGAAGGGACTCTGCCCAGATCAGATTCCGCGTAGTTTGCGTGCAGGTCGCGATCCGTCCAGACCGCACCTCCTGCTGCGAAAGCCATAGTCAGCCCTGTCCGGGAACTGTGGTCGGGAGCTGACGTCCGGGAGTCACGTCAGTGGTTCGGGCGGAGACGAACCCGGCAAGTGGCATGTGGGAGTCAACACCCACTGGCACACCATCCTATGAACCATGTCGAGAAGCATCGCAGCTGGACTGGCCACCAGAGCATGTTCGATGCGTTCTAATCGACGAGAGCGCTATCCCCAACAACACGTGGGGAGAGGCCCTTTAGGTTTTGCGGAATCAAAAATCCGTCAGAGTTTGCGACTTGCCTTAGGGCGGGCGATGCGTCCATTTTCAGGCTTTACAGCTTCGGGGCCCGGGCTTGCCACTTTCACAGAATGAAGACAGGCATCCATCGTTCTTGGCCTAGACACACTTAATTTAAAGATACTCGAGAGGCTCGCCGGTCTGGTCTGGGGAGCTCAGCGACGCCACTGTACCCTCCTGTCTGAGCATGCCAACAACCAGCTGCAACGAAGGTTCAGAAGTCAGCCGCTATTTTACCCACCGGGAAGATACAAGACCGACATGTCTTACCTTCTTGTTGCACTCAAGTCTCAGTCGCCCATGAACCTATAGGACTGTCAAGGGCGGCTGCCGCTGTAGTAAGCCTATGTCCTTGGCGACTCCTTTCTCTCACATGGCGTGTCGTCTTTGTCTAAGTACAGGAGCTTGCGTTTTTCTCGTAAATCGAAAAGATGAGTCCTCCAACCGCTCCCTGGATCGGATGCTGAACTCCCTCATCATCGATTAGTGAGATAGCAAACCTTTTTGTTCTGTTTGGGTGCACGATACAAGGTAGCAAGATTCCCGCAGGCAACAAGCCTTACATAATCGCCCCAGTGTCCTATATTGACGGATTTTCGATTTGTTGATGTGATGGTTCGTAAGCGCGTGTGAGGCTCTGTACGCATCAGCCATCAGCCTTTTAAGGGTTTGGGCTGGGACAGAACTAAGTCCCGCGTGGAAAGGAAGCTCGTACATCTACCCTTGCTGTTGGCGGTCAGTTTCTTGCCGAACGGCTGACGTGTTGGCCGTTGTCTCACAAGAACTCAAAGCTCGGGCCGAGATGAAGGACTTGCGAATTTGGCCCAAAGCTTCAGGTCTGGGCGGCACAGTCTATTAGAGGATGCCTGTATGTAAGCTGTCGGATCTCTGCAGAGTCTTGGCCGGGTTCGGTGAGCTGGGTTTGCAGACGTTGGGGCTGTGGACGTCCAAAGACATGTGCTGGAGGGTTGGCAGATTTACGTTATGTTACTTTTGCCAGCTGTGTTGATACTGGCGTTGATGTGACATTCGGTGACACACTGCGCTGTTCCATCACAGGCAATGCACTCCCGAACCATCACCCCGAAACTGAAGCCTTCTCGAGAATCTCAACATATGGAAGGGAACCTGATGTAAGTTAGCAGGCCTCCTGAGAAGCATCCGTCGGGACGCATTGGAGGTAGGTGTCAGTTTGGGCCACCTCACATCGGGTGACCCGACCAAACTTTCTGGAAAGCCCAACAGGTAAAGTAGCCAAAGAAACCCACTGGCAATGCAGAGGTCTTCGGGCTCGGGTTCTTTGGGTTCGGACGTTGGGCTAGGCATGAAATACGACGTTGACGGTACCTCCACCACAAAAGACTCGTACTGTCTTTAACACCGTGCTCCTGTGCATCCACGACATTGCGGATCAGAGGCCTGCAACCTTGTAACGCCTCAGTGAATATTCTGCGCCCTGTTGGTGGGTTTAAGAGCATTGAAAGGGTTTTATGGTGCTGATGGCAGCTTGTCAGTTCTCTCCAACATCTTGAAAGCTGTCTGTTGCCCGTTCCCAGGATCTAGTTGGAGGTTGCTACTGTGGCTTGCACCCTTTCGTGCAATTCCTAAATCCTGTACAATCACATGACCGTCTACAAACCCACTGCGGCAACCACCTCAAGTCCATAATCGCTCTGAATAGCCCTGACATGCACGAACCCCACACTGTAGCCTTGAGGACACACGACAAATCAAGATCCAAAAACTGCGGTCCTAGGCAGCATCCGAATGCCCTTAATCCCAACCATGCTGAATGCTGGACAGTAAAAATCCCTTACCCTGATCACCGTCAACATCCCAACAATCCGACGTAAATGACCAAACCCCAGAAAAGAGCAAGTAGAGCAACACTGATCAGAGCCGGAATCCCCCCAAACCGTCAAGCCCCAGCTGATCCTATATGGCACCAACCCCGACCCCCCCTCCATTTGAGGCATGTGCTCGCTCGTACCGGTTCTTGCATTTGCTCTTGTCCTGTTCTTTAGCTTTAGGATATTAAACTCGGGGCTTAGGGGCTGAATGCTGCGTGAGCTTGGGGCTCGCAAAACTTGAGGTCAGACTCTGGCAGGAAACTGTCCTGAACAACTCAGAACCGTTTCCGTCAGCGTCGTTCACATGCCGCTTCTTGTTCGCAGTCTTGGGTCTAGCCTGCAACTGGTTCGCGCCATCTACAGGCGGTAGATGAAAGTGAATGCATTTCCGAAAGTGGTGCATCAGCAGCTGTTGCATGTGCACGAGCCTGGACGGTACCGCTTTCTAAGCTACGAGCAGATCATACCTCTGATGGCCCGCCAGCGTGCAAGTGTGCAGTCTTCTTCAGTACGGTGCGCTCGTTTGCGTCGGTGGTTCGCACCCTGACCTTGCCGGTTGAAGCATGCAGCTACATGCAGGCTGTCTATGTTTGTGCTTCCTGTTGTTGGGTCATGATGACACCTGCCTTTTGCGCGTTTGGCGACCAAGAATGAATTCAGGAGTGCTTTTGCTTTCTGCTTTCAAGTTGCCCAGCAGCTCCGCTGTGGCAGGTAGCAGCCACAGCAACAGAACGCAGCAACCAAAAATGCACATCGACCTAGGAAAGCCATAAACAAAAAGGAGGAAGCAACAGCAGCAGCACGCAAAAGCGGTTAGCGGAAGAGCACAAACAAAACACGACATGAGCTGGAGCATACACAAAAGGTACCAAATAAATCGACAAGCAGCAAAAGCAAAAGCACCTGAAAACTAAAGCGCAAAGCAAAGTCAAAATGAGGAGGCCGAAACAAACAAATCCCAAAATGAAACGCAAGGGCTTGAAGAAACATGTCTAGAGCTCTGTACACAAGCCGACGGAGTCCTTGATCTTGTCGCAAGCCACGTCGTCTGTCGGCTTGTCTAACAAAGTTCCTTTGCACCTGGGATAAGCGGGGTTTGGGGTCGGTGCATCTGCTCAACCCTCAATGCTTGGCCTGAGGTTCAGATGAGGGCTGCTAACTGGACTCTGACCTCCATTTGGGAGGCCAAAGCTTCCTAGCTGCCGCAGATGGCGAGGCCGTTGCCCACCACGTTGGCAGCATTGGTTAGGGGGACTCTCACGGCTGACGCCAAGATCAGCAGCTGCACCGTGCAGGGAGGACCAACTCGCAGGTCGAGCTGCCGCTCTGCATGAGGTCATCTGGTAGAACCACCCCAGTTCTTGAGGCGCATCACCACTTCGGGCACAGAATAAGAGCAGGGAGGAAGGCCATCACGAGCGACGGAGCAGACAAGAAGAATCCGACAATCGGAGAAGGGAAAGCAGAACGACCGCCACTATAGAGAGCTTCAAGTCTGAAGACATCGACCCACAGCGGTGCGACAAGACAGCGAAAGCCACCTAACCCAAACCACATAACTTCGCAAGCACAGCAAGTCGATTGCGATTCTTGGCCGTCTTCTGCTGTGCAGAGAGAAGTGTTTCCCGCTAACATTTCGGACTGAGGTTCATTCAACCCTGATTGCGGTGCAAGAAGCTGCCCGGAGGACCACTACATCAGCTCTTGGAACTAGTGTTTCCTCTGTTTGCGGTTTGGTCGGCCCAGGCACTTCTGCATTGGGAGGCGCAGCGCCGACGTGGGAACTGCCTTCTTGGAATTGCCTGTGTCAGGTCCCTTGTACCGCATCTTCAACACCTCACAAAGGCGGTGCGGTGCAGATAAGGCTTCTAGGCTACCGCTTAAGCTTAAGGGTTTGGGCCCAAGCCTCTCCGCCACCCCGCTCGCACATGTCCACCACCAACTTGTGGGCACCGGCAGTGTACTTTGTCTTGCTGCTCCCGCGCTCACGCTCCCCATGGCAGCCGTCATTGTCCACAACCTGCTTGTCGTTCAGCCACATTTTGGAGCCTCTCAGGAGCAGAGAAGAGCTGCTCGCTGCTGCTTGCCGGACAGGGCACCGTCGTCTGAACTGAGAAAGAAGTTGTACTGGCCCTCCTTTTTGATTATGAGCTGACCAGTGCACCTGTCCAAGGTCCAGGATTCGACAGAGATTGGGGGGTTTTCTCCTTCCAAAACCCCAAGAGCTCTGGGCCAGAACTCCCTTGCCACGAGGATGCGCATTACGTTCGCAGTTAAGCATTCCCAGTGTCTGGGAGAACTGTGCTATTGCAGGCATGCTCGCACAAGCTGAGTTTCTGGGCTTGTGTTGTGAGGGGCAAAGTACCAAAAGAGGCTTCAGCTGTGTTCCTCCTAGCCCCGATTCCTCAAGGAACTTGAAACACGAGCGAAAATCCCAGGATGTCCCCTAGGTCTTGAACTCAATTGAGCTTGGAAGTCCGCTCTGATCTGGGGAGATTGGCCCTGCAGTTTCGGGCAAAGCTGCTCAGCAAGAGCCTCTGAAATGTGTAGAGCTGTCGTTTGGGACGAGAATTGTTTTTTAGTGGTTGCTCGCCTGTCATACTCGGTTGGGCATGGCTGCACGAATGTTTACGGGCAAGCTTGAAGATCAGTTCCGAGTTTGGGGTTGAGGACATCGGTAGCGGAAGTAGTGTCCTGCTCGATGCTTGGGGTCCGGCATGGCCCGGCCTGATGCAAAAGTGATTGCCCTGCTTCACCTCAGGGAACTTGCCGTTTACCTGCAGGGCTCCAAACTGAATCAGAAAGCCCTAGACAACCTTATCAAGCCTAAGCGCTGGCTTCCTTCCCCAGAATATTGAATAACGACATCCTAAAGCTTCGCAGATAAACCGAAATCTGCGTCCCTGTCCATCCAGATCTTCGGCACGACGACGCGGTTTGAAGGAGTCCTTGGCACCGCTCCAAATATCGAGCATTGCCCCATGTTCGTTCATATCGAAGCTGTGACGCCTGTACTGCGATTGACAGTCTGACGCTCTGACGGACTGTACTGTGGCTGAGGACTTCCTGCTTCAAACGCGAAGCTTCCTGAACCATCCCTGACCCTGGCTTGCAGATTTGCAAACGTCGCCATGCTGGATAGCACAGATCCCATACCTTAGGGCCACGAAAACCCCGGAAGATCAAACACTAACCCGACAGCCCCGAAAGCCTGGAACCCGGTAAGCACTCCCCGAGCTTGCACTCCTAATTCCCCATCTCTCACTCCCCGATCGAAGGCTCTGGTTCTGGGAGCTGAATAAGATCTCACACTCGAATCCGAATGAATCAGAAATGTGTCGATGAGATGTTAGTACTGTTACGTCTCTGGAGATTCCCCACAGGGGGCTAGCCCGACTACGATTCTCCAGGGTCTTTGGCGGCGAGTGTCGGAGATTCGGTTTGGAAGGACACTGTACAACCCTTGACTATCCTTCAAGTAAACCGCCACCCTAGAATACCAGACACAAGCTCAGAGATCCAACAAGTCCGTGGAGGACCGACGATCCCTAACACCAGAAAACTCAGGCAGGGTGTCAGTTTGCCGAGATCCTTGATGCGACAATCTGATTGGTCGTAGAAGTAGTGGCATTCCAACCCCTCGGCAGCGCCCTCCTCAACGACCAATTCTGCTTGGCTATGACAAATGACTAAAAATGATGCAGCAGGCGTGTGCCGTGGGAGTTTTGGATGGGGTCTCCTGGCGTTGTGCAACCTGCGGGATCGTCAAACCCCACTTGATTGTGTAGAACTCACCGAAACTGGACAGGCGCCTCCACAGAAATGGTCGCATTTCCGACTGCATCAATGTCGGAGGAGCCCGCCTTGAAACGTGTAGAGTTCAAAAGCTCGGTGCTTACGGGTATAGCGGCATATCAGGCTTGAGGATATAAGATTTATGATCAGCAGTTTCGGGCTTGGGGCTCTGTGCAATCGTGCCCACGCAACTGTGAGGGCATGGTTTTGTTATGCCGCGGAGGTGGCGGGACGCAGAACGCGGGACGAGGGACGCAGGATGCGGGACAAGGGACGCAGGACGCGGCACGCCAAGGCACGCGACACGCGGGACAGTAAGTCTATCTATGTTTATCTATCTAAACCCGAATCGCGAAAGGAGAGATCTGTTTAAGATATATGAACCGAAGTCGCCGAATGAGGGGGCATGTTTATGAGATATATTATAAAATTTCGGCCAACAAAAATAACAGTTTATGTATTCGGAAGGCCGAAACAGTCGGAATGTATTGCATTTCATGTGCTGAGGCGTTCAAGAACCTCCCGTGTTTTGCATTTTTCGGTTGTGAACGAACTGCAACTATATATTACGGATTTTCTTCATAGGTATCCCATCCCCAAAAGCTATAGTTCAATTGAGGACTTCTCAGACCTTGGGCTCCGACTGGTTTCCATATTTAAAACCCATATCTGTAGGGTACTTTATAGGGTCTACTGTAGGGGATTCTAAGGGATATCCTATAAGGTATTCTATAGGTATTCTATATGGCATACATAAGGTATATAGAAGGTATCATACACAGGCGATCTTCTATAAGGTATTCTACAGGGTATTCGAGATGGTGTTCTATAAGGTATATGTAGGGTATATCGGGGGAACTGTATAAAATGTTCCATAAGGTAGTCTAAACACTATTCTAAAGGATATTTTACAAGGTATTGTAGAAGGAGATTCATAAACTATGTATTGGGGGCATGTTTATAAGATTCTTATGTATCCTTTACTAGATGATAAGTTCCGATTTATTCAACGAGGTCCTAGATCTTAGGTTCTGCATTTCCTTCATATGAATCCCTTACCCAGTAAACTACAATCCAACTGAGGACCTCTCAGATCTTGGGCTGCTCCTGATTTTTACTATATAAGTGTTTTATCGGTAAAATAGCTGTTATTCTAGAAGATGTTCTAACAGGCGTTTTATATTCTAGATTCTATATCCTTTCGGTTGTTCAACAAGGTATATATAAGGTATATAGGGGGTATCCTATAAGATATTACCGTATTTTATATGAAACTTCTTTAAGGTGTGTAGGAAAGTATTGGAAGGTACTCTACAGGCTATCCTCCTTTATTCTTCATTTCTTTCATAAAAACCCTTGCTCAACAATCCTTATGTACTGTATAGCGTCTCATTCGGGTATTTTAAAGGAAATTCTCCAAGGGTATATAGAAGGTATTCGGGCACTATCATGTATGGGATTTTCTATATTCTATAGAGTATTCCAGATGGTATTCTTTGAAACTTATGTGAGGCATATAGGAGAAAAACAAGGTATTCTATGGGGCATTCTATAGGGGATCTATTGGGTATTCCATAAGGACTTCTCTACAAGGTATACAAAGGAAAAAACTCTACGAGGTATTCTTCTATAAGCTCACGGGTATGGCGTAAGGTATTTACAGGGTACATTGATTACCTGGGTATTCTATATGAAATTCTTGAAGGTATATAGAGGGGTATTCTATAAGGTATTTTAAAGGTTATTCTTCTACTAGTAGGTTCCTGATTTCCTTCATAGGAACCTGTTACCCAATAAGCTACAACTCAACTGGAACCCGCAATCTGGATGAGCGTGAAAGGAAAACCACACAACCTGAATGGATCGAATCAGTCTTGAGAGCCACGAGCTCTGACGAAAGCTCAACAATGGACAGGGCTGGCGACATAGGACTCAGAAGAACCCGCTCCATACTCTCCAAGATGTGAAAAGAATCTTGAGACCCTGTTAAGCCAACATCAGCCGTATGAGAAGGGATCAAAAGCATCCCTGCATCCAGCATCAGCTACATCAGAAGAGGCCCATAACTCTATTTACTCTACTCGTCACTCACCACACTCTCATGTTCGGCAGCTTCTGTTTTTTGGCGGGTTTGGACGTGCATACAAATAAGGTCCCAAACTCCCAAAACAAGGTCAACCCGAGAATCCAAAAACTATCCAGAAAGCAAATCTCGCGAGCAGTGACACGAATGTTTGCAGGGCACCGGCAGGATGCTAGCGGAAGGCTTAAGGCGAAGCCGCCGTGAAGCTAACGTGCTTAAAGGGCAGCTATGCCGTGTGTTACATAACAAGGCCGGCAGCCAAAACGATGTCCAAAATCACTTGTCGGTAACGCGCGTTGAAACCCGGATCCCAGGAAATCACAACCCACAACGCTTCTGTAGCTGGGACCTGCATGCCTCGCAAAGACGAGCCGTCCTTCCACATGGATCTCTGGGGCTGTTTTGCATGTAATTGCGAGGAACTTAGGAGTCAGGCTTTTGCACAGTCAGCTAGCCGGCATCGACTGCAAGAACGGCAGCGTAAAGGGGGAAAGGTTGTCATTATATAAAGTTGCAGGTGTCAGGACTGTGACTCTCGACCTTCAACCATGATGGACTCAAGCTTGTGATGTCATGTGATGTCTTGCTTGTGTTGCTGATAACTCACTTGTGCCAGGGTGTGCAACGTGTTTGTCAGACCACTCTTCTCACCAAGCCTTCCCATCCCATTGCTTGTCCTAAGAATGGAATTCGAGCTTGTGCCTTGTTGCATGTCTGCATATTCGCCTTGTGAAGAACGACGTCGTGGTACCGCATCAGCCGTAGCAAGAAATGCAGAACAACACCAAAACCAGACGGTGTCCTTAACCACGAAAGCTGCGACAGAGCACACCAACGAACACGACACAAGGCGCAACATGGCAGCACGCGCGACACTACGTTACACAGGTTTGGTCTAAGCCTCTGTGCCAGTGCACAATAAATGGCTGCAGCACATTCTGGCATGTGCGGAAACATGCCAGAACAGACCTGCCCAATTCACATAAAGGCGAACTTGCAGCTGCTACCTGCGCTGCCCGCCGGTGGGCGCAGCCCCTAGAATAAAATTCGCTTGATAATGTTGGGGGGCACCTGTTGGGGTTTTGGCGGTCCAGGTCTTCAAGGTCTTTGTTACGCTTCTTGAGCTTCTCAAAAGGATTTCACAAGCGGGACAATGCAAGACACGGCATGTATCGGTTAGGCTTCATGTCAGTGTGCTGAAGTAGCAATGAAGGGATTGCAGAAATCGGTGAAACCCAGCAAGGCATCAAGTCGCAAATGGGCTAAGGTCGCGGGCCCCAAAACTGTGAGCCCTGCAACGAGCATATTAAACCCTGAGTTCACCACTTTGGCAGTTGGGGCCCGCGAGAACTAGTCAAGTCTCAACTTCAGGCGCTGACATGGCACTCATTTTCCGGAGTCTTCAGGCATCTTAAGGACTCTGTGAAGGTGGGCTTGCCAAAGTCTCTGCTCGCCCATCAGGAATCATCAGAACTTCGTTTCTTTGTTACAGGCCTTGGAACGCCTTGTCGATAGCCTGCCGGAAGCCCCCTAAATCAACACGCATGTAATCTGAAAGTGCGTGGCCCGCGTCAGCCACCATCATGTGGAAGTACCTCAGCCACGTTGGCCCTCCGTGCATTCCCCAATACGTTGCGACCCGAGGAATTTCCTTCCCGTTCATCTTCATGGTGCACCCTCTAACCTTGTAAGCCATTTCGGAGCAAATGAATTCGATTGCAGCTGGTCGTCCGGTGCAGGGCATCCACAACACNNCCCGTTCATCTTCATGGTGCACCCTCCCCGGAAAGACAACTAGACTAAAGCTCCACACTGACTCTACAATACCCAGGCCCCCTACACCTGAACTCCTCTTTAACACCAAAACGAACACCTGCAATAGCTCCAAAATACGCTAAGCGTCACGAAACCTTTACTTTGCACAACAGCCATCAGCAGAAACCTAAATCAATTGCTGAGAATCCTCGGTACTTAAATCTGCAAACACCCTGCAGCCCCTAACCCTCCAACGCCTCCTCACCGAAAAGCGCCATCGTCCCCAGTCACTTCGGCGGAGGAAGCGGCGGGGTCTCACGTGAGGGAGTCCGGACTCGATTGGGGTTTGCAGCAAAAATACCCAGACCACCCTGAACCCAGAAGCGGGGGAGGTACCGGGGAACCGGGAGGATCTCAAAACTCAAAACCTAAATCCTGCACTTCCGCCAGACCTATTACCGCACCAAAGCTCTGCAGATTGTATAACACGAATGCACCCAAGCCCAGCCCTAAAACCCAGAACCATAAAACAATCAAATAAACCCTCAAGCACTCAGAAACAAGCGCCGCTAATACAGGGGCCTCAATACTTGGACTAGGGTTTTGGGGGCATATAATACTACATATGTAATATAACGAGCCCCTCAGAATATCACTGGTGATTCTTGAAGCCCCTATATTAGAGTTCAGGCCTTCGGTTGAGCGGAGGCGATCCTGGCAAAGCATGCGGCAGGTCGGGGTTCTGGTTGAGGTGACTTGAGCTTTGCATTGGTTTAGTTTAGTAGGGCCGGTGTTTGGAAGCATTTGGGGCTTGGGGATTCGGGTTGTTATGATTCAGGGCTCCTCGGGCTTAGGAATTTAGGAATCAGAGCTTGACGTGTTGGTTGAGAAAGATCAGCAGAGAAAGTGAGGACTTGCTGTCCTGTCTTCAAGATGGGCTTAAAGAGTTTAGAGGTCTTCCGGGGTAGGAAATGCTTTTGAAAGTCATGAAGGTTTTGGTGAAAGGGTGTCGATCTCGAGTTTCCGCAGTTGGGGCTCTTCAAACTTATCTAAGCCGGCAGAAGAGTTGGCCCAGGGTTGTCGGGGTCCATATACTATAGAAGACAATAAATAGGTTTAGAGTGCCCCTAAGAAGAACAAACCGATTAGCAAGGCCACTGTTGTACGCCTCGGGTCTTAGATGTGAGGGTTAACTGGGCAGGACCCATGTGGGTGGGACCTGAGACTTGCTGTCCGATCAAATGCCCGAGGTGCGAATTCGGAGTTCAACTTTCCGAATACACCAGCTTATCGAAAGTTAAGCCACAATCCCACCACCAAAGCCCTTTTAGTGTCCCTTCCCGAGCTGGTCTAAGGCTGAAATTTCTGAGCACGATTAGTCAGCTAGAGTTTTGGACCAGATATTGATCAACACCACCAACCGGAATCTTGAATCCCACTACGGGGATGAAGTAGCCAAACCGCAACGATAAATAACCAGAGTCTCACACAGTTGACGGCGTTCAAATTAAAACCCGAACCCTAAACACCCAAAACCCCCACAGCCTACAGCATAAAGCCGTGAAGTCATGCACCTGGGAACCTAAAAAACTGAAACTGACAACTCTAAACCACTAATTCAATCCTAATCCCCAACAGCCCTAAACTCCTAAATCTTAAATTGTAAACGCCAAATCCTAAACCCCGACTAGTAAGCCTTACGCCCTCCAAAATCCTGAAGCCTCAACCCCACCTCGGGTCAGCCAACTCTTTGAGTAGAATTGCCATCCTGGATATTCGATTATTTTGGGTGCCTGTTGGATTGGTTAGAATGCACTTTAAATAGGATTGTTTAAAGTTTATTTTGCAGTTAATAGGGTTGTTTAAAAGTTAGGATTTGTAGGTTTTGGTAGATCAGCTAAGGATTGCGCATGTTGAGGTTGAAGGGATGTGGGCTATAGTCTAGATTGGTCCCCGAAAAAAGCACGTCACTCTTGTAATGACGACTCGAAAAGCTGCCCTCGTTTACAGAGGCTTATGGTCTGGATATTGGGCGTTAGCTAGGGATTGCAGGCAACCAATGTTTGGAGACTACGGCTTCTTTTTCTGGAAGGATTTCGGACTTTCATGGCGAGGCGACAAAAAAGCGCCATTGACCATCCAGCTGACCCGTATTAAGCTTCAGCTTCGCTGTTTTTGTGACTGCAAGAAGCCCATCCATGCATACGCGCACATATATGGCACACATATGTCCAGGCTTGAACCAAGTGCATGTGTTTGCATAATATGTTTATGTGTACATATATAATTATATATATATATAGTGTATGTCGGCATTTTACGATATTCTGGCCTTCGACATACAATCTGGAATTTGACATGTAGAATATGATGCCATGCTCCTTGTTGTCCCTGGTTGGCCTGGTTGGCCACTGTCCCTTGTCCTGTCTTACTCGTTGTCTTCTGTCCCTTGTCGTTTTTTTTGTTGTACCTTGCTGTCCTCTTTTTTTCCCTGCCCAGTGCTAACCTTTACTGTCCCTTTCCACAGAACTGACGTAACACACATGGCAAAAGACACACACACGATATGTATGATGATGATCATGATGAGTACCGTGGAGCTTTCAAGACGACACATTTTGCAGTGAGCTACAGACTTGCCGCCTCGTATTCTCCGAGCCACTAAAGTTAAATAATTCAGTTCATGCCATCGTTGCATGCACTCAGCCATCGTTCATTCTGCGCGTCGACGTCGTCATCAACCGGAAGGCTCTTTTGCTTTGGCCACCACTTGTTGTTCTTGTAGTAGGGCCACCACGTCTTGCCGTGCCAACGCGAATTCCAATGCCGACGTGCATCCTGTGCCTGAGCATCATTCTTCTTCTTCTCTTTCTTCTCGGCGCGTTTCTCCGTATTGCGAGTTTTTAGACGCGGTTGGAGTAGCTAGACTTTGGCAAGCTCGACCTGCAACTCCAGTCGTCTCTCCTCCTGCGTTGTCGTCGTCTTCGGGGTCGGTGTTTTCTGCTTCGTCGGCTTCGGGTTCTCTGGTTTCTGCTTGATGGTTTCCCGGTGTACAAACTTCTTGGAAGAGCACACGCAGCGATCTTTACCCCATTTGCCGCAGGTTTTGCAGCGGACGCGAGCCATGGGAATCTTAGGACTATGATGATGCTAAAGTGGGCGTGCGATGAACTGATGGCTGCACAGGGACACATACAACAAAAAACAAAACGAATGCATTCCAACGCACAGCTAGTGGTAGGGCCCGTACCTGCAGAGGAGAAGTTTGTTTGCATTTCTTCTGATTCCGATCTTGCTATTCGTACACAAATTCTAGTTGGCCCTATAGCAACATCTTAGGATAAGTTGACTACAATGGATAACATGCGAGTTGGCCCGCAACAGCGAACTGAACTCGGATGGCTATCGGCCCAGTACAACAGCAACAACAGCTATAATTTGACTGGCTATTGACCCGCGGCATTCAAATGCTCAAATTGTTGCTTTTGGATATAACTGTATTCGGATTAGCATGGGCCCAGAAAATTTGGTATGCATGAACCCAAGCTGCATGAGTGTGTGTATGTGCTTGTTTGCGTACATTTGTGTAAGTATATGTAAATACCATCACTGTCTTAAACATGCTTTGTATTTTATATCCAAAAACCAGAATCTTAAACTCAGACTCAATATGTATCATGGGCGACCGGTTGAGAAGTCACGAACAAACATGTTGATGTGCAGACTGCCGGACGGATGTTTAAGCATGTGCGAAGTCATTAGTGCCTTGTGGTTTATAAAGTTTTGAGGATCCAGCCATTATTCATAGTGTTTGGGGTTTGCCAGCCATCATCTCGTCTCGAAGAGGCGTACGAGTCAATATTTTGTGGGGTTCGGGGATGGTTTGGGCATCATGCAGCCCTATCAAAAGCTATCCGTCGCATCCGCTTATTTCAGCAGTCTGGACGTCGCACTCATCATCTCATATGTGGAATGGGCAGTATCACCCAACAGCAGATCTTGAATGGGCATTAGCACCCAACACCAGATCATGAAATTCATTTATTGGCCGCAACAGCGAACTGAACTCGGATGGCTATCGGCCCAACACAACATCAACAACAG